AGGGAAGTCTTTATGTTACGTTGCGTGTGACATTCATTGGGTTTTAATTTCACGGTTTTATCATTTAGATAATGTGTTCTGTGCTCAATTTTACATCTTCACTGGGTTTTAATTTAGCGCATTTTCCAGTCAGCGAAATAAGCAAAATTAAAACCCAGTGAATAATTAACCCTTTTACAGTATATGGATATCGCGGTGGACTTGAAATAGGAAGTTTTTTTTTTTTATCCAACAACAGAAGAATAGTTTTCATGACAGAAATGCAATAGCGGTGATAAAAGATGGTAAAAAAGTTGGCAGTCTTAGGCGTGACATTGCAAAATTGCTGGCCTCGGTTATGGATTCGCAAGCTGCTACAAAATATTTATAAAGCCAAAATAACGTGATTTCAACCATTCTCCCAGGTATACGGGTTGCTACAATATTGCAACATTGTTTTCACTGTCGACGACGCTAAAGCCCAACGAGTGCGACACTTGCTTAGCGGCTCTCCTTATACGATTTGCTTGAATCGTTTCTAAGGAAGCACAAACCAAACGGCCGGCCCTTTTTTAGGGCCACGACATATTTCAAAAAGAGAAATACCGTTTCTGCTTTAATATTTATTTTTATAGACTTGCTGACTGTTATGATTCTGAAAAAAATCAGCGGTGAACGCGCTGCCCTTAAGGCAGAAAGCTGTCACAGCTATTTTGCGTTCACCCCTTGTTTTACGCAATTAACAATTTTTATAAGTATCACGACAGACTTCAAGAAAGTCAGCTGTTAATACAACCACAGTCAACGAATAGAAAATAGTTTTTTTTTGTTTTTTGCTCTTTTTACCTTCCATGGGTTTGAGTAGAAAAAGACCCCCTGGGCGTGTGCCCGGATATGACCTCAACTTCTTTATTGTGTCAAAAGTGGGGGGGTGGGCGTTTGTCCAGGCATGGGCTCTTACCCGGATAAGTACGGTATACATAAAAAATTACCTTGTAAGACATAATATATCTTTTTTACTATATCACCAAGCAAAATTTTAAGATGTTGAGATACATCGTTGCCATAGAGATGCATCATTGCCATAGAAAACAATCAATGCTCTTTAACAGACAAAACTATTTTCGATACATTTATTGATTGATTTTTCTCTGAACTGAGTCTGGTAACCCTGTAATTAATTTTTTTCATCCTTGTAACATGGCACACAACGAGGCAGACAACTTTGACAGCACATTTACGTAAGAGAAAGTGCTTATAATATGGTACACAAAACTGACAACCAGTAAATACATACATACCAGAGAAAACACAGCTGCAGCAAGTTTTTGTGATTCACCATACCATTTATCAGTTAGTGTTGAAGCTTGTAAATTGATAAAACGGAATCCGGCTTCTTTAGCCATGGCCTTGGCTATCATTGTTTTACCACAACCAGGCGGCCCGTGTAAAAGTATACCTACAAATAAGGTAAATACATAATTTCAATGAAATGATTGTGTTCTTTGGCATCAAAAGAACATGCATAGTTTTATAATACTGACACACTACTGTGAAGTAAGGTACTTTATTTTCACTGGAAGTATGAATCAGTGAAAATAACATTTTACATTCAACTATCAAAAATCTGTAAAATTAACTTGACAATGATGTTCGGTGTACTGTGACTCTGCACATTTGGAATGTTTAAATCTGTCCTTAATTGACCTCAGGTCATGCAATGCAAGCACACAAATGATAAACACACAAACGCTATTAATTCAGGAATTGAACAGAAAATCCCTAAGACATTGAAAACCCAAACCAATGCTCAGTAATTTTCAGCTATTGGAATGAAAATTCTGGGCCAGACATCTTGCGAATAACATCTATTTTATTATTATGCGTATTACCGTACGAGAAATGCCAAAA